TCTCTCTCTCTCTCTCTCTCGGCTCTGGCACAGGATTATCCGAAACAAATCCGGTAGGACTGGGAAGTGTGATAGTGGAGTTTGTGCTGGATATGCAGGAAGCCTGGGGCGAATTGCCATGGACTTCCGAGGCACACGACATCTCCACATTATACCAAACTTGTTGCATGTTCACCTCGGACACAAGTTGTACCAACTTGACATTGGCTTGAACCCGACGGGTAATGGACACTAACAGCGGTCCGTGTTCTAGCGCCCGTGAGTGGCAACTCAGCTTACTGCTGGACTTGATGTTGGCTTAGGTGTGAGGTTGTTTGTTGGTCGTATTTCGGCTCAAGAAGCGACTGACAATCCTGTGACAGGTGGTTCGTCAGGATGCAAGGGCACCGCGAGAAGGTGCCGAAGAATCCAGGCGCAATATGTTGTACAATCAAGTCCTCGCGAGAGACTTCGGTTTTCAGAGAAACGAAACACAAGCAGGCATGCGAAAGTCGAGCCCGGCGTTCCCTGCAGTGGCTGGTGGCTTACACCTGGTTCCTTCAACAAGGCACACATACGGCTGCACAGTGGCACTCCCGAATCGACCGTCGTGCAATGAGGCAATGAGACCTCTTCGCATGTTTCGATGACGCAATCGCAAGGCAGGTTCCTGGATTCTGGACAACTGCAACTAAGATCGCTGCCTCGCAGCATTTGTATCCCCGCTCAGTTGCAGCAGACAATGATGCAGACGCCTCAGACAAATTTGCTTGAACAGGGTTTTGCATGCGAGAGGCCGTGGCACACGTCGTTCCACTTAAGGCCCAGGCCCAGGTCGAAGTTTCAGTCGTCCCAGCAAAGTCCGGTGCAGGGCTCGGTCTGCACCCGTCGAGCTCCGACTCCACACCGGATGTGACACGGTTGTGAGGTGTTGGGGACGACCGGTGCCCCAGGCACCGGCAGGGACTCGCCGCGAGGGGTCTCCCGAAGCCTTGCAAAGGGTTGCGCCAGGCATGATGCTTTTGGTGAACATGACGTGGGCCCTTCCATCGTGGAGGCAGGCTGACCACTGCGGCTACGAGCTGCCATTCGCACACCGCACAGGCTGCATGCCAAGAGGATCTGCCAGGCTCGGTGTGCCATTTGATGTACTGCGAGCATTGAAAAATGCGAACACCAAAGGGTGTGCAGAAACTCCACACTCAATCCGTTTTCTTCATGCTGTGCTACTGACGTGTATTGTCGTAAGCGTTGGCCATACGCGTTGGCCTGGTACTGGCTTTTCGACGCCACCCGTGGCCCAAGACCCAAAGCAGCGATGTCGAAGCCAAAACGAAGCATGATGCGGTCTTGTGCAGTGCTTCTGTCGGTCCTGTCTCGCTTGTTGGATTTGAATGTCGGTCCGTGAAGGAAACAAAGCGATCTCCTATCATGTGCGCTAGAGTAGACGCTGCAAGGATGCAGCATATCTTCCAGTAGGCTGTGGTTTTGCCGTCGCAGGCCCGACCCCATCATGCGAGGAGACTCCGGCTGTGTGTTTTCGTCTTGCGATGTTGTGCAGTGAGTCTCATCCTGGTGCCCCGCGAGGACAATGTTGCATTAGATGAGGCCGCTGCCAGCACAGCATCCACCTGCAACTTTGCGGCATCCGAGGTAATGGCTTGCATCGCATCATCAGTCCTATCCCGTGATCTCAAGGTGTTGCTGCTGAAGGAGGAAAGCCGAGGCAGTTGCCATTTGTCGTTGACCCGCTTTTGTTGGTGCCCCAGTCTGGACGCAGATGCACGGCGTGGGACGACAAGATGGAGTTGGCACCTCCAACTCAAGAGCCGGGAAGAAAAGATTCCGAGTGGCGGGCCTATAGTCAGCACTGCAAGTCCTCCCATCTCCTCAGTCTTGACTCGAGGCTGCCAGAAGAGGCTCAAGTTGACAAGGACTTCCGCTGTTATTTCCTCAAAGTCTTCATCTGGCTTGATGCAGGCGCTTCTGAGAGATGCCATCTCCGGACCTCCCTTCGGTCTGCTCTTCGCGCTTGTCAAATACAGCTCACAAGATCTTGACCAGCTCGTATGGTGACCTGTCAGGCAACAAGCACCTCGTGATGACAGCGGGGAGCGTATGCTCCTCTGACCCGGACGCATTATCAACAGCACCTGGCGCACACCTCAATCGTTGCTTTGCCATGGTTGTGTGGAGAATGTGCTTGTCATAGCTGTTCCGCCAAGAAACAGAGGTCCCCTTGACGATCATGATCCTGATTGGCCATTCGCAAGAATGTGCTATGAAGGAGATTTCTTCGACATGTGCTTTGCTTGTTCGAATTCTAGCGCTAGCATGTTGTGGCAGGACCTGACGCCGGGAAATTGTACATACAGCAACGCCTTCGGCGGCAGCTGCCTGAATGACCTTAGCAACAAGTTGCGGCCAAACCACTCATCTTTCCTCACATGGAGGTCGCATGCTCGCGGGAAGAAGCGCCGAGAGTCTCAGGATGTGGAAAGTCACGTGTGCGACATTGTCCATAATCGCCAGCAGTGACTAGCATTGGTAAGGTCATGTTTCTGTGTCAGGCCCGAGTACCTACAAGGATGAGGTGGACTGCCTCCGACTTCAGGCAAGAAGTGCGAGGTGGAGATCTTACTCGTACTTTTTGTGAGTTTGGGTTCGGTCTCAGGTAGGACTTGATGTCGAACCTGCCCCTCTGCTGCACGTGGTTAATCCTGCGTAATGCCTGTGCTGGGGGTTGCTCTCCTTTGTTCCATGCCAGGCCCGCTGAGCACAACTGGCACTTTTGAGCGCTTGCCGCCGATGTGGATAACGATCTTTTGCAGTGGGAACGATCCCGAGACATTTGCCCAAGGCATATTCTGAGTAAGTCGTTCTACACAGAATTGTAGATGAACAAGTCGTTGGCCAAAGCTGGCAAATGTCGGATTGTGTACAATATCTTAACAAGGAGCAGGCATTCTACCCTGCAAGTACTTAAACCTTATCATTTTGCCGTCCCGATTCTGCCTTCAAGAGGCTTCTTCGGGTGCTAATGTAAATGTCGCATTGCTTTACCCTCCATCGGGGATGGGGTCATCCGAACCGGAGATTGTTGGTTCGATGTTGTTAAACATCAGGAGGAGACGTCCTGTCATGCAAAGGACTCCGCGAATTCAGGTGGTCATGCAGATACACCGTCCATGCTGCAGGCTGCAAGTACTGTATGTAGTGTATCGGCTGGCAAGGCTCATTGTGTAGGTGTCGCAGAATGGAGCTGTCTGAACTGTGCACCATAATTACCACGACTTCTCCAACTCCGTCGAATCCAGCCACTGAGCTGATCTGCTCAACCTTGGAGAGTCTTGAGGAATTTGTGCCAGAGTTGCTGCATTGCCGCCACATTGTCGTTTGCGATGGTTACAAGCTTGCCAATGACAGCAAGTTCCGGAGTGGCATTGTGACGCAGGAGAGAGCCAAGGCATACGAGCAATATGTGGCTAGCCTTGAGATATTCACGAAGACGAAACCGTCGCCTGTGTGGGAATCGGTGGAAGTGCTGCGTTTGGTAGAACGGCAAGGGTTTGGGTTCGCCGTACGTGCGGCATTGGAACTTGTCCGCACACCCTTCGTTTTCGTTATGCAGCATGACAGGACGTTCATGCGCGGATTTCCACACGTGCTGTCGCTGTTAAAGGGGATGCTGCAGAACCCTTGTCTCAAGATGGTGGGTTTGCCGACCACCACCAACGACCCGCCCCGCTACATGATCCAGGCTGTGACAAGGCTTGGGCAGATGAAAGTCATACATCCACCTTTCGAATCTCTGGTGGTCACATCATCGGAATGCCCCTCCCTTCGTTTCATCCCGATGATTATGTGGCATGATTCGTCTCATTTCGCATTCACAACTTATTATCGCGAGTTCGTGTTTGGAAGACGTCATTTAGTGACGCGTGGAGGATTCATCGAGGACAAACTGGGACAGCAGCAGGGAATGGACTTGCGCTCGATTGGTTGGAGCAGCCACGAGCAATACGGAACGTGATCTTTCTGCACGAAGAAAGTTGCAGTTTCTTTTATGCAGGCTGGTGTCTCGTTTCTAGTACTGACCAGACGCCTCTGCTAAAGGTTAAGCCGAGCACAACGAACAAACCATGACAGACAACAAGTAGTGCTCCTTGAGCTGGGGGTTTGTACTTATGCACTATAGGGAAGCTTTGATTCTGTTCGGCATGAAATGCAACAGATGGCTGGCCAGGTATTTATTGGATGATGGGGCACCGGCACCTGCCCGAATGGTTGGACACTTGGACGGTAAACGCTACCTTCGACAAGAAGCAAGGATTGCACTGGAAGCTGCCGAGAGGGCGAAAGCTTCCATGTCTGTGGGTGCTGATAATGACTCATACGGCCCAGTCGTGGATGAGATCACTCGCGCGTGCAGCTGCTACCGACTTCGCCATGGCCGATCATGACGTGCTCTGGACCTCTTTGCGAATCGGCCGTTCTGGTTAGATCTCCACAAGTGGCGCCATCAGGGCCCGGAGATTCGCCTCAGTGCCTGTGACTCCCTGGCGGAACGCGAAAGAGCTGACCCCTGAAGCAGGTCTGGACATAGGTGATGACAAGTCTTTCGTCCCTGGCATACTGCGCTCCCGAGGACCCAATCTGCCGATGCGAACAACCTTCCGTGGAGCAGGGAGAAGAAAGTGATTTCCCCCGAAGAGATTGCCGAGAAAAAAAGGGTGCCGGAATTGACAAATTGCTCTTGTCTTCAGGGCCCTGGCATGGATGCCACTCGGCTCACAGCAGGTGCCATCTTGTCACATGAAGTACATGAGCACAAGCAGCAGCAGCTTCAAGCAGCGCACGTGAGTCGCACGGACGAGCTCATTCTGGGATTCGATGATCCGGAGCTCTTAAGGCCGAGTTTCGAAACACAAGAAGTGGACTGCTGCTGTGACTCTGCAGGGGCAAATGGCGTCTCCTGGGATGACCTTCGTCGAGGGCACAAAGCAACACGCGAGGTGCTCGGTTGGCCCTCTCGGGTCTCGCTACCGCTACCCTCAACTGGGCTGGGTTGCGCTGGCGAGTTAATAGGATGGTCCAGTGACGGCAGCGGTGCCTTCTGCACCACATGCTCCAGCAGAGGAGACACGTCCGAGACCGCCCTTGCAAACATGACAGTGCCATTAGTTCAGGACGCTTGCCTGTACTGCAAAAGCGCGCCGCGGACGCCCGCTGCCAAATCGCGCATGCGTTGGAGTGGCGGGATGATCATAGTCTGCTGTCTGCATGCGAGGTACGAGACGGATGGATGTGGACATGAAGCTGCATGCCATGGGCCTGAGTTTGGATGACTGAGACAAAGTAAGCTAAGCTTCTATCGTTCCTTCAAGGTAAGAAGTGTGCAATGAAGACTGCTACTGGTGGCAAATGCAAGGTGGGGCTCGGAATCCTTGCGGAACCAACAGGCTGTTGCCTGTTCTGGAGGTCTGTGGGCAGCTCTTTGCGGGCTGGCGACAGATCTGAAGACGGAGCCCCCTTGACAGCTTCTCGAGGCAAGGAAGTGAAAGATTAAGCCAATTTCGTGCATTCTTGCTCCTGAAGAGGTTCCGGACTTGAGAAAGGCGGCCGTGCCCGAGGGACAGAAAGAACTTCTGGGCCGGGCCAGGGCCTGTCCAGCGATGGACGCGGACCACAGACCGTTTTCTGTTTCGAGAAGAGTTTCACAGACCTCGCCGGCGGCTCACGAACCTCGCACACGCCTTCTCGGCAAGCGTTCAGTGGTGCACAGGCCCTAAGGCCAGAGTGGATGTTTTGACATGTTTTGACATGGGATGTGTCAGGGTGTTCGTGACTTCCCCGAAGCTAGGCTTACAGTACAGTAGGGCTTTGAATGGCGTTGCTTGAACACCATGGTCGGGTTTTACAGAGGAATTGACGGACGGTACTTCTGTTGCGGATCTTCCTTGCTCTCTGACAAAAACCGTAAGGGAAACTGTGCCTACCAGGCAAGCCTACATGCAGCATTGCAGAAACAGACAGCTTGTCTCTGAGGCAAACACATGGATCCTGTATGCGCCGAAACTCGGGACAAACCTGCTGCTCGGTTTTGTTCCACCCGCCTTCGGCTATACGTTGTAGATAGCCCGTCTACGCCTCGAAGACGGTTTTGACAAAAGCCCACCATACTTTGCAAGTGCCTATCCGCCTGACCCTACCGCAAATGTTTGGTCACCCGAAGAGAGCCATGGATTGGTGACACGCTTTCTGGAGGAGGCGGCACCGCGTGAACGTAGATATTTCTGGAAGCTAGGTGGCACGTGCTTGCACATGTGTGGGCTTGGAATGCTTTTGTTCGTGGCATTCGTTTGACGGTGTCTTGGTCCTAGACACTTTGAGTCGGCAGGAACCTGAACGACCTAAATAAGTAGACCCGGATTCACTGGGTATGAAGATCAGCTCGTTTTTGTACAGTATCACCTGGCCGCATGCGTTTGTAAAGTGCTAATGCAGGTGTAGGTTCAACTTGTTTGTCTGACTGTGATGTTTCGGATCGAGGGCCCTTGAGTCAGCTTGGAAAAAAGTAGCATTGCCATTGCGTTTCGGATTCAA